GAATAGGAAGTAAAATAAGATTGAACAGCACTGGAGATTTAGCTGGAGACGTATAAATATGAAGTGGAATTCAGGCCTTGAGACCGCAATGTAATAACCACGAGCAGCGAAGAGAGAGAAGTCCAAATATTACATTAGTCACGCAGCCGCCTGGTTTACTAAACTCTGATAAGTGTCAACAACTGCTCTTCATTCTAATGGAAGCCATCAAGCCAACATCTATCTGATGGGTTGTAATCTGGTTTTCTGTTTAGTAAAAATCACCTTTTATCATGTATCTGCAGAACGTGAATAGCGTTTTGTGCCAGTCTGAGAAAATGAGAGTTGGATTGCCTCTTTAACAACAGGCGGCACGTACTTGCAGCCTAACATGTTTATCATGTACATCTTATGAACCGGGGCCTCTAATTCCCTTTTCAATTTTTGTAATACTATTGTCCTCAAACCGCTAGAAAACCAGTATAACAGTGATTGTATTAGAGTCTAATCCTCTAAGAGTATGTGCAACCTGCCCTGAATATGTAACAGAGGAAATTTAGAGGAAAAGTTAGAAACTGGCTTGACCTTGTTTTTAAAGATTAGTTAAATTTTTTACCAAAAACGGATATATTTTTGGAACAAACCCTGTGGGATTGTTAATTAAATGTATCCATTTGGTCAATGTGAATAGTTTTCTATCTGTACTTAGTGAAAGGTAGTGTGAGTTGGCGCTGCAGGGCAGGGTACATTGAGTGTCTTCAACCCTCCACCGCCCCCAATCCCCCTTCCCACCACGTTTCTAAAATCTGTTCCCATACCACTGTGCATTGTCATGGCTTTCTGCACTAGTTGCCTGACAGCATGGGAACTCCACCCCATTTATCTTGTGACTTGTGACCTGGAAGTGTGTAAAAGGCTGTGTGCCCTTTATAACAGTAGATTCCAACCAAGCCTTTAGGAAGACATAAAGTCCCACTAAAGCCAGCATTCTTGGTTTTGTTTGAATTGGGAAGGGTTAGAACCGCTATTAGGTGTATACTGCAGTTGTTATGAAATTAAAACACTATTGTTTGCATATGGTGGAAGAGAACATCTGTCAATTTTTCTATTGCTTTCAATGCTTGTTGTGAAGATTCCCCTCACCAGTGTGGTCACAGGTACAGAAAGTGAGGGGACACAGACTATAATAGAAATATAGAGTAATGAGGTCACCAGCACCCCAGGGTCCACATTATCAAGTCATCCTTTATTGAAGTCAGATAAACTTGCTATCACAAAAGATTGCAACGTTTCGGAACCAGTGTGATCCCTTCAGCAAAATAATGTGACGCAGGTTCTAACTATCTTCCTTTCACCAATGTTTAGTTTGGAGAGAAGGCATGATACATTTTCTAGTATATACACTAGAGATGCACCGATAGCGATACTAGTATCAGTACTGGTGCCGATACCGAGTATTTGGGCTCGTACTCGCCAAAATGCTCCGATACCTTTCCCGATACTAGAACTTCCGGTCAGAGGAAGAATTCCTCTTACCGGCAGTGCCACAAAGAAAGATGGAGCCGGGAAGCTGGCTCCATGCGGTTTAGCCTGCTCGATGCTGATTGGCCTGGAAGCCGGCTTCCCAGCCAATCAGTGTTGAGGCGGGCAAACAAATCTGATAATATAGCGACCCCCCTGCAGGCACCTAATTCCCCTCAGATAGATTCTTAGCATTCTTTAACGTACCAGTCCCTTGGCCACATCTGCCATCTCCTGTGTGCACATCGCTCACGTGATCTGCGCTCAGCCTGCTACTGCGCATGCACAGGATTTCTGAATGAGAGTGCTGGGCAGTCTTTGCATGCGCAGTAGGAGGCAGAGTGCTGATTATGTGGGCGCTGTACACATAGGAGACGTGGGCAGATTCGAGAGAGCGTGTGTGTCTGCTCAGTATCTGCTCAGCTGGGACTTGTACGTTAAAGAATGCTAAGGATCTATGTGGGGAGAATTAGGTGCCTGCCGGGTGGGGGTCGTGTCGCGATATAGTCAGACCTGTTTGGCCAGCCTCAATGCCGATTGGCTGGGAAGCCGGCTTCCTGGCCAATCAGCATCCAGCCGCCCAAACAGAATGGAGTCGGCTTCCCGAGCAATCAAGAAGCCTTTCTGGCTTCCTGATTGCCCGGGAAGACGACTCTATGCTACCGGAAGTACCGGTATCAGTACTCGGTATCGACGATTACCGAAATATAAGTATTGGTACTTTTACTCGATAGCGAAAAACCGGTATCGGTGCATCCCTAATATACACTCTGTGGGTCCTCCATGATGTTCCTGGAACCCCCTTCCGAGTTCTTGAAAGTTTGTATGCCAATACCCTGCATCTCACAATACAGGCAGATAGGCTTTATCACTTAATCAGAGGTGACCATAACACTTGGCGATATTGACTGGATTGTACTGACTGTATTGGGACAAGATTTCAAATATGATTCTTGGCAATATGGAACCTGAAATAAAAGTGGAAAAAATGATATGATTTGTCAGATGTCGTGTGAGTAACATGGTCAGTAACCAGACCTCAATTCCTTGTTTTGAATGCACAAAAACAGCAAAATATCTAGTTAAATCTAGCTCGTGTATTTATGATTTGCCATTTTAGATAAATAATATATATAATATAATATAGTATAATATATTGCCAAAAGACACCCTGGCATTGCCACGCACTGCTACAATATATATAGTTTTCTTTCAGCAGCTCTTTTCCTAGCTATCAATATGTAAAGTAAAACCAGGCTAATGACATCTTTTGAAGTCACACTGGTACCCAGTAGGACTGGCGATGACGATGATTATTTAGATAGGATGGTGAAGGGGTTTATGGGGACATATCCAAAAAGTTTTAGTTGTAAGTTAGGAGGGCTATCTGTTATGGTGGTTTAATGACTAGTTCATATTTTTTTTTTTTTTAAACCTGCATGCCTTTATATGAGCCTCCTGGAATAGGCCATATGTCACGGTCTGGGGACCGGGGCACTAGGGTATGTGAGCTACGGGGTTTGAGGAGTTAGTAGGAGTCAAAGACAAGAGGGATATCTGTGATGTTGGTCACAGAGAGAGAGGAACTAATGGTCTGTGCGTTCTCAGGAAGCACAAGAGGCGCAGAATCTAAGAAGGGCCAGGTATTCGACAGAGCCTCTAGTGGTGAGGATGATTGGCTGCTGGACACCTTCCAGGTTGCAGCCCTCTAGCGCACCCACACAGACACAAAGGACTAGTCGAAGCACCGGGGAACTGGATACAAACAACAGGTAGGGAAGAAAGTTGTAACCAAGAGGAGGAAGATAGGAACAGTGGCACAGAATGAGAGCCCACAACCAGGGAGAAAAGCAGAAATCTGGCAGGGATTTCCGGATATTGTGACACCATAGAAGGGTTTCTCAAAACTAAGGGTATGTGTAGACACCTTGTGGTCCTCACTATTGGAAACCACTATTACATTGCCTTTTTTTATTATGGCCAGTTGACTAAAAGTGACACTAAATTCAGGAGTTAAATCCTAAAAATGCATTCAAGTACCTTAAGGCTCTGTTCACACCTAGGCGTATCGAATATGCGCGCTTGTCCCGCATTTCATGACACGCTTTTTTACCGCGATTCGCGACAAACGCGCGTTTCCGAAGGCTACTTGGCTGTATCCCAATGGAAACGCGTGACAAAAACGCCGCAAAGAAGCTCATGTACCTTTTGAGGCGTAGGCCGTTTTGTAGCGCATTCAGACGGGCTGAAATACAGCAAGGTGTGAACCATACCCATAGAAAACAATGGGATTTTCATGTTTGAGCGTTTTGTAGAGCATTCGTAGAGCATTGAACGCGCTACAAAACGTATAGGTGTGAACCAGGCCTAACTATTAACAACAATGTAAAGTATTTGTGCATTAGACATGTGCATTCGGATTCGGACGAACCTGCAAATCAACGAAATTCAGTTGATTCGGCGGTTCATCCGAATCCGAAATAATGAATTTATTATATGCCCGAATATACGAAAACTATATTCGGGCATACATAAATTTGATGTCAGAATGTACTGCAGCCATATTGGCCTCCGGCATGTTTTGTGCATGCCCGCTGCCATCTTGGAGGCAGAACGCTTGATGTCACATGACGTTGACGTCACACGCTGAATGAGCGGTGGCCGTATCGGCTGCCGGCACGTTCTTTGCAGGAGCGCTGCCATCTTTGGGTATATCTTAGTATACACCAAGATGGCAGCGCTCAAACATGGGGGTGCCGCCATCTTGGTGTATACCAAGATACACTCAAAGATGGTGGCGCACATGCACAGAACGCACTGGCGGCCGCTATGGCCGCCGCTCGTTCTGCAGTTTCAGTGTGTGGTTTCGGATTCGAAGGCTTGTTGCCTCTGAATCCGAAACAGCATAAAAATGTGTTTTCTTTGAGGAAACGAATAAACATGTTTTTCGTTTTCAATCGTTTCATCAGAAAACACATTTTTTTTGCCATGCACATGTCTATTGTGCATTACACAGCTGTAGATCCTCAAATAATCTCTGAAGTGGTGCTGACACTGTTCTTCCTTCTATAGGGTGGTTATGTTTGTTCCTCATGGTCCCTGTGTGTGTTGTAAAGTAGTCACCGCTCCAAGCTCGCTCCCATGGACTACAATCTCATGTTTAGTTTACTAATGTGTACTGAAATTATAGTTTATGAGTTTGTGTGAGTTTGGAGCGGTGGCTACTTTACAACACACACATGGACCATGGGGAACGAAAGTAGCCACCCTCCAGAAGGAAGGACAGTGTCAGCACCAATTCAGAGATGATTTGAGGATTTACATCTGATTGATGCACATATAAGATACATTTTGTTAATAGTTAAGGTACTTGAATGCATTTTTAAGATTTAACTCCTGAGTTTAGTGTTACTTTAATTAAACTAAGTCAAAACTAGTATTTAATTGTTTAAAAAAAAAAATCCTTATAATGTCAAATGGCTTCTTTCTATTTTTTTAAGCTTCTGTGTGCCATCATCGCTGGACTTCTACATTACTTCTTCCTCGCAGCGTTTGCCTGGATGTGCATTGAGGGAATCCACTTGTACCTTATTGTCGTCGGTGTCATCTATAACCGTGGATTCTTGCACAAAAACTTCTACATTTTCGGTTACTGTAGTCCGGCTGTGGTGGTTGGCATTTCAGCGATTCTGGGATACAAGTATTATGGCACGGATAAAGTGTGAGTATGCTGAAGTGAAGGCTCTGCGTTTAAAAATATTTTCTCAAATGAATGAATTATTTATGTGATAATATTTTATTTATCTTGAAGATGTTGGCTGAGCACGGAGAACAATTTTATATGGAGTTTTATTGGACCGGCCTGTCTCATCATTCTTGTGAGTACGAAGTTTGTGTTTTATTATGTGTTTATTGCCTTTTTTTTGCATTAAGTAAGATTTGAAGACTGGTTTAACTACACCAGGGGTAGGCAACCTCAGCACTACAACTGTTGTGAAACTACAAGTCCTACGCTGCACTGCAAAACCTTGACAGTCACAGTCATGACTCCCAGAAGCACAGCTCAATTAAAATCTAATACCCTTTGTATTTCTTTTTATTTCTGTACCCCTCTCTCCCCTCAAGTATTGGTGACTGATTTCTGCTCTGTTAAAACCCTGCATCTTGCCCTCCCACTCCAATGCTCTGTGCTGACAGAACTGAGTAAGAGCCACATGCCCTTGCAAATACTCGGTATAGGCATCCCTAATCAGAATACAATATTGTTTGCAATAGTCGTCTTTTAAGTGATAGTTAATAATATGGGAGTGCAGGCATTTTGGCACAAGACGGGTTAACCCTTATTTGCACTTAAAGCACTTGCATGGTGAGATTTGCAAAGTTAAAAACCCCTTTAGCAGACAATCTGTGAATCTCTACAATTAGTTAGTTTATTTGCCAAGTTTTAAAGAAGCTATTTAGAAGTCGATAATTTTGAAAGCAATTACAAATCATTATTGAGCGGAGCTGACGCCAATCTTCAGCTTCAAGTTTGCTAATTTTTTATTGAGTCCTTGGGTTAGTGGTAGTTGATGACACATAACGAGAACCATTCCACTCCTTACTTCTGTACAAGTGCCAGCTGCCGCAGATTGTTAGTCAATAGTGATGATGATAAAGATAATGTTAGAAAAGACTCCAGTTTGATCACAGAAGTTCCTGTTTCTGTACAAACAGGGGAAAGGGCCTAATGGGAGAATCAATAACCCAGTGTGATCCGGGTTACACTTGTTGGAATGATTATGGATCATTTTGATTTTTTTTAAATTGAAAATTATTTATTTTTTTTAAGTAACTTACACTACCTGTTAGAAATAAGAGATAGTTACTTTTCTGCCAACAGCAGTCCGTTAGTTTTTGCTCTCATTTATCTCATTGGATAAAAAATAATATTTAGTGAGTGGTTATGGACATTTTTCTTCTTTTGCCATTGCCTTTTCCAAGTAATTAGTGGTGTAGGAGAAAGCAGTACGGATTTTAGAACTCTTGAATCTACTATCTCTACACTACAAATCATTATTCATATGGCCAAACCTACAATAAATATGTGTTGCGGTGTGTTGCTTTACCAAAAATGGTTTAGGTGTAATTTCTGGTTTGTTGTGGTAACATTGGAGTTAAATGCACTGCAGTGGAACACCTTGGCGTGAATGGGCACTAAGAATAGACATGTAACTTAATAGGGTTCAGGTAGGGTTTAGGGAGAACATATTCTGCTACACATAGATCACTTCCTGTCCACTAATCCAATGGAACAACAACAAAATAATGTCACCAAGTTTACATTAGTAGGGAAATTACTGATGTTGGCTTCACAAAGCTTTATTGAAAATGATTTTCAGATTTCTCTATTGTAACGGACTCCAGTACTCAGGATGAGTATGTGCGCCGCTGTATTCTTCCTTGCTGAGGAGATGCTGCAACCAAGTGATCTTTAGCTCCAGTTCCCCCATTCACTAGTCAAAACCAAGTGTAGGGGGAAACAAACTCTGATTTATTGAGCAACTGTGCAACCTTCTATACACAAAGTGATCAGATAAGATTATAATCCCATCACATACACCATGCCCTCTCCAGACAATCTGACTCTACAAGGTGCGAAAGAGCTCCAGGCAGCCATAGCAGGAGTCTGGCCAGACGCAGGAGAATGTCATTGTCCTGAGCTCCTTGGGAATACAAAGAGAGCTAACACAGGGGGGGGGCTGCTGACATTCTAAACAGGTTACACAGAATAACATACTTAAACATAACCCAACAATAACACACACATAACCCATAAAATTATGACCATGTCGTCACAACTATATGGACCACTTAGTCAAAATTTGCTTATTAAAATAACAAAAATTAATGGCCTTGTTTTCTAAAAATGTCAGTGCAGGCTGTTGATAAACAAAACCATATCACTGAGAGCTGCCATGTTGGTTTTTTAGTACACTCGCACACCTAAAAAGAAAGAAATTGAAAATGTAAAATAGAAACTGATCTGTTAGGTCAGTTTCCGGCACTAGAAGAGTTATTGTAGGTATTTATATAGCACTCACAATTTACATCAGTACACATTTACATTAGTCCCTGCCCTCCAGGAGCTTACAATCTATGGTCCCTATCTCACATAGCCAATTAACTTACCAGCATGCCCTTGGAATGTGGGAGGAAACCCACAAAAGCCCAGGGAGAACATGCAAACTCTGTGCAGATAGTGTCCTGACTAGGATTTAAACCAGGGACCCCAAGTGCTGCAGGGCAGAAGTAATAAGCACTACACCACCATATTATACTCCCCTATCCTGTTGCCAGACTGCTATCTTTCCTCCGCTCCAGTGCTGTGACCTCCATCAGACTCTTCCGGAAGTATGGTTCCATCCACTAAGCCCTACAGTACACGGAAGCCAACACTACTAGAACTGCCAAATGCAAAAAAAAAACTTGTAAAAGTTGCAGTTACATGGGCCACAGGAGAAGTGACTATATTACTCTTTCTATTGCAGGGGAGTGCCGTTTTTTGATTTATTGACCTTTACAGGGTCTTTTTAAATGAGTTTCCGTAACCCTCTACAGCTGATTACACCCTTAAAAACCACCTTCAATCGCACCCAAATGTCTTCATTTCACTCATTCTTACTTGAAAGCCTCAATTAGCACAACATGTCAGCTACTGCAAAGCAACAGTAGTGTTACCTACTTGGCTTATTTTCTATTTTCTGAACAAGTGTTGGGAACATTACAAACATAAACTTGCAACTATTGCCAGTAACACTTTTACGTCAAGTATTTTTTGTATACCGCTCCTTTAACATCACTTTGAAGCGCAGTGAGTCCATCACAGTTTCCTGCCAAGCCTTTTCAAACTTGAATTTTTTTTTCCAAAAGTGGCTCTAAACATCTAAATTGTTCCTGAAACTTTGAAAGCACAAAAATAAAGTTTGACATGTCAGCTGTACTTTGGCAAAACCCAGCGGGAGGTTCAAGACGAAAACCGTGTCAACAGTCTGATAATCTGAAGTTCATATATTGCATTGTATCACCTGTTATTGGTGATCGGACATTGCAGAAGATTACACTGTCATCTTCATGTTTCACAAATTCCTCGGCACCCTGTAATCATCACGGCTATTTTTAACCCAAATTGTAGCATTAGATTGGAGCCAGCTATTTCACAAGAGTGGATGAGGCGAAACGCGCTAGCGGAGAAGGCTTTTCTGTAAATAAAAATCTCTTCCCTTTATCAGTTTGTTAAATCGTTGCAGACGCTGCCATTTTGAAAACTCATCTTGAGCTTTATGGCCACATCTGAACTGTGAGGATGGACACTGGATTTCTTCACTCTTTGAAAATAGGCTCTTAAAGTAATCCTGACCGGCCTAAATGTTTTTACATTAACAACCGTAGTGCAGGAAAGTGTCCCTGTGGAGCCCGCTTGGATTTTATGCCTTGCTCTACATGGGACTTGTACTTCTACTCAAGAAGGGAGTAAGGTCTACACCTCTATAGCGCTAAGCCCTGTGTCATTTAGCAACCAGTTGCTACTACTGTTCACTGAAGTTCTGGCATTTGACAACTTAATGACAATGGGAAGGACCTAGCGGAGATTAATCGTGTCTTAGGGCAAAAAGTTGACATCCCACAATGGACTGCATAAAGGAAAAGAGCCACACGCTCTGGATCAGTTACTGTATATATGAATTTAATCAATCACCTGGTACCTAGCCAATCCACCTGAATGCCTCCTTTAAAGCATTTCACTCAGCAAGGGCTTAATTGTAAGTATGAAAGGTAATCATTCAATGAGCTGTTATCAAGCGAAACACATCAGCAGAGGTGAATTGTCTATGCACTCTGTGATTGAATAAATTCATACATAGGGTAACTGATCCGTATGTGTAGCTACCTTTATCCAGTACATAATATTTATGGCCCGGGTGAGCTGAGATGAGAGTTGGCACCTGGGGCTGAGTGGCTGCTGGCCAAAAATCTTGAGTGGAGCAGTGGATCCTTTTTACATATATACAAAATGGACTAGGATCCAATGGGCTCAACTGGGACACAGGGATCAATCTGAGAACCAGCACAGGTACTGACAGCCACCACAAGTTGTCTGCATTTAAAGAGAATATCCCCCCAGTACTTACTTCCACGTGCAACCCTGCAACTATATTGCTGGGTCAGAGTCTTTGGTAAATACCTGGTTCTTCCAAGAAACAAGAAGCATGTGACCTCCTCCCAGGATACAGTGTTTGGGATTTTGCAGCCCTTATAATAGACCCCTCAACCGCAGATACTTACTTTTGCATACACCCCAACAACTGCATTGCTGGGTCAGAGTCTTTGGTAAATACATGGCCCATCGAGGCATGGAAAAGCATGTGACCTCCTTCCAGGATTTAATGTTTGGGTCTTGGAGGCCAATCGCTGCATACAAACACTGTTGCATGATCCGGAGGAAGATGATGTTAACACCTTTTGCCATGGCGCTTACAAAGGGTCCGGACACAGTGCTCTCGTGGGCCAACAGATCAATGATGAAGCAGAGGGAAAGAAAGTATCACTGAGTAGGGGGGAAGGTAGGGCATTTTATCAGATAACCTATGACAATACACTGAGCGGGCACTGCCATATATTGCATGACCGGACCGCACTGAGACTGTGCGGCCCGGTACCATTTGATCTGCGGACCGGGGGTTGGGGAACACTGCCCTAGAAGACTTTCCTTGCAGCTTGTATTGGCATCCACAGCATTGTCTTTATAGCTGTCTGTCTCTCGTTTTCCAGGTTAATTTGATGGCATTCGGTGTTATCATCTACAAAGTTTTCAGACACACTGCAATGTTAAAACCAGAAGGTAGCTGCTATGAAAACATAAGGTGAGTAGTCAGAAATTCTAAAGCACCGTATATAGGAGCATCTCCGAGGAAGAGTATTAATAAAAACTGGTGCAACTGTGCTTCAAGGGATATGGCATATTTATGACACATTTGACAGCGCAGCGAAGCAATAAACAACATTTATTACCTTTCTTACAATGTTACTCCTCGGTTTTTCTGTAGTATCCCGTGTGCCCAGAGGGATATATTTAAATTGTGCTTCTTGTGATGGGGTTGTGTCTACAGTTGTCTGCAGCTGGTTGTGGACTATCCACTGAAGCAGCATTCCTTTGCGACTACAATTCTTTTCAACACTAGAACATTTTTGAAACACAACGATGGGTTATTAATAAGCAAAAATGCCAAAATTTGATTCACACTTGAGTTTGGAATTAGAATTATAGTAAAGTCATTGGGGGACAAATTTTGGTGGTTACTTGTGGCCCTTTGCAAAGCTGCTAAACAAACTGTTGCCACATAAAGGTAATGTATTTGTGTATTCCCCATGTCACCCTTGAATCTATATAGAAAAAAACTGAAAAATCACCCAATGTACCTGATTTCTTTTGTTTTGCATTTGTAAAGCTCACCCACAACTGTATAGAGGGGGAGAGGCCTTTATATAATGTTTTAGATACGACATGGGAAATACTCAAATCCTTTAACTTGGCACTAAACTCAGGAGTTAAATCTTAAAAATGCATTCAAGTACCTTAACTATTAACAAAAATGTATCTTATACGTGCATCAGTCAGATGTAAATCCTCAAATCATCTCTGAATTTGTGCTGACACTGTCCTTCCTTTGGGGGGGGGGGGGGAATACTTTTGTTCCCCATGATCCCTGTGTGTGTTGTAAAGTAGTCACCGCTCCAAGCTCGCTCCCCTGGTGAACTACAATCTCATGTTCTGTTGTTAACAAGCTCTGTTAACAGTTAGCCCTCGTTCACACCTGACCGTTTTGTAGCACGTTCTATGCTCGACGAACGCTCTACAAAACGGTCAAAAATATAAATTGCATTGTAGTCAATGGTCTCGTTCCCACCTTGCCGTATTTTCGCCCGTCCCTAACGCCCTACAAAACGGCCCACGCCTGAAAAGGTTGAGGTACTACTTTGGGCCGTTTTGTAGGGTGTTTCCATTGGGATACAGCAAAGTAGCCTTCGGAAACGCGCGACGGTCGCGCAACTTTTTTACCGCGAATCGCGGTAAAAAAACCGCGCAGCGGTCGCGCGACAGATGCGCATATGCAATACGCCTAGGTGTGAACGAGACCTTAGTGTAATTGAATGCATTTTTAAGATATAACTACATGGTACTAAGTTTAGTGTCACTTTAAATCTATAAGTTTGTGTGCTGCCTGAAAGCTGTGCCTGGTATCACGGGACCACCATGGTTTTCAGGGAGAACATCAATGGCAGTGTACTTTGGCAGCACATATTTGGCTGTGGAATTTACATTTTTTTTTTTTTTTTACAATTAGCTTTGCTTACAGACAGCAGCAAATCTATTATTTATTTTCTGCCAAAATAATAGATTTGTTTGATAGTTTTACTAGCAACATGTGGGATTTTATCAAGCAGTGTTAGGCCTGCTTTGATGGACTGTAGCCCCCAATTTCTTTCCAAAGACTATTGTTCATGTGACCAGAGACAGGCATCAAAAGGTGTGTACCAAACTTTATGGACCACAAATCTAATAACAATTTTCAAATTGAAATTTGTTCAACTTTCAAATGTGTGTTTTGGTTCAAATGACTTCTGTTCACAAAGTTTATGACCTCACTGCCCTGTCTTACTACATCAAGTTATGCATAAAGCCAATATACATGTTTTAATCATTTCTGTTCTAAAAATAAAGAGGTAGTCAAGCACAGGGAAAAGCTGATTTTCTAAGCTGTACCAACTCTCCTGTTATTGAAGACAGACGTTTCCTAAAGGGAATTTCTCAGAGTAGATTAAAAATGAAGTCATATGGCATTGCCAGCCTTGCCAGTCTCCAGGGAAGTCCATATTTACTAAATACTTTTTTTATTTTAGAGTACAGCTGTGCAATCACCAGAACGCTGTGATGGAGGAGAGCTGGGAGGTAGTCAGTGTACTTGGCACTTCCAGTGATAAAGATTTTAGGGAATTTCAGAAGTATTATGTTTAAGGCTTTGTGTGCTTCCATGCTGTTTTCCTGTTGCCGTGGCAGCACTAGCAGGTTAGTGTGCTTGAGCATTCAGACTCGTTCGTATTCCCAAGCACTTTACTGCTCTGAAAGGTGGACTTAAATTCCTGGCCAGGTTCTGGAGTGAACAAGGTCATACATTAGAGTTGGTGATGAAGTAGTTCCCATGGTGCGCCTTCAAATCCATGCATGAAGCAGTGTGGGTGTGTTTACATAGAGTGCATTGACAAGCCTTCTCCTGGGATGTCTTATCACCCCCTTGGAATCACACTTTTAAATATTCATGCATTTCTCACGGTTTTTAACACACGTGTCTCACATCAGCTGTCATGGGATTGTAAAGCCCACAAGCACCTACCTATCTACCTGTAATGTAAAAGTTAGTGAATAAAGAAATTAAACTACACACCAACATAGTGGATAAGTTGGGCCATGGCCCTTTATTGGGGTTTGAAACTAAATTTATAAAAACTAAACCACCTGGAAGAATGGTTAATCATAAACCAAAAAGAAATAAACAAACCGTTGACCACTTCAGAATTCTGGATGTATGTCCTACGTCCAGCCCTGAAGTGGTTAAAGTGGTTACTGCTGTCATCAGGCGGGTCCCAACTATTGAGTAAACATCATCTGGGGGGCTGTAGAGCCACCTGATTACTTTTTCGTGACTGGCGAGGTGCCGCCTCCCCGGCAGACCCCCTTGCTCTGTGGTTTTCAGGATCTCCCACTGCTCCTGGGATCACAACAGAGAGTGTCAGGATAGCGAACCGATGTTCTCTGCAGTATTTAAATCTAGAAGTGCCCAGCTCTGAGCATTATTGGGTTCAGAGCTGTTAAAATCCCAACTGAACAGCCAGGTAAACAGCGAGTCAAGCACAGGCTGTGTTTGATCAGCTATAGCAGAGGGCAGGGGAGACATTAGTTGTCCATTGGACTCCTGATATCTCCATACAGATTACCTGTCACATGCCCAATGCTGTCACAAAGGGGACTTGTTAGCCCCCTTGTGACAACAATACATTAAATTAAATTAATAAAAATGTTTAAAAAACTGCCCAGTAGACCCACTTGCACGCATACCAACACAAATGCCTCTCTCCGCCTTCCCCCCAAAAAAACAGGCATTTAGAGAGCTCCATAAATCACTTTCTAAATGCTTCTCAAATACATCTAAAACTAATGCTATTGGTGTGTCAGAGACTCTTCAGTCTCAGCACTCGCATGAACTTAACCTTATCCCTGACTCCAGCCAATTGTGTTTTAATTTTTAAAACAAACAGACAGCGCCTTGTCCTCGTGTAATACAGTTTATTAATCAATGAACATACAAGCTGACATAAAATACTACTCACATGGTAATCACTGAATGAATGGTACAAGGCAGACCCCACACAAAGCTGCCTTGCTAACTGACGCGTTTCAGACAATATACCCCCTTCTTCAGAGCTCTTGATAAACTTCCAAAACTCTACCAAAAAATGTGCCTTTGTTTTTGACTCCCTTCCGGTGATTTTCCATCACTTGTTTTTTGCTAGGAGTGCCCATGCACCCAGGCCCATGTCCCAAACAGCTCCTGGTCTCCGACTAGTGACTGGGAGCCGGTAAGACTGGCCTAATAACTGGGAGGAGGAATCCAAAAGGATACCCAGCATCCAAGGGAATGAAATGGACTGTCCTCTTGGGTAGAAGAAGAGTATGACAACACTGACAAGAGCATTGTAACACTCTTGTTTTACCCAAGAGGACAGTCCACATCATTTCCGTCGGATGGTGGGCATCCTTTTGCATTCCTCCTCCCAGTTATGAAAAACTCAGTTGGGAGGTAGCTGTCATTTTTAAGGAGCACACAGTACAAACAGATACCAATTACTGATACATTTTTGTTTATTGTCATGTGACAGTTTTTCGAAAACAATACAGACTAATGATTTCAGGACAGTGGTGGAGCGCCATGGCCCAGTCCCAGCTTCAACCGCTGCAACCCTGGTAGTTCTCATGAAAATGCCAAATATTGGCACTGGTATCAGAACTGGTAACTGAACATCCCTAAATTATTATATGACTAATTTAATATGATCAAATTAAAAGTGACAATGCCATTAAATAGTTATGTAATTTTTACTTACTGATTATCACTTATGGTTTGATAATAAAAGTACTTTAATGACACAGAGGTTGGAGATTCATTGCTATAGGAGTGGCTTAGTTGGCACAAGAGGCGGGGCTTAATACCCTTTCTACTGCAAAACCCTCTAAATAAAAAAGTCCTTTTCTTGCTCTACCCACCCCTATAATTTTTTTTTGTTTTAAAATTCTGAACTGGCATGTATAAGCTGGCAATGTACCATGTATTTCGGCATTAACCATGGAATGTCACTGTTGTGTTTTGTCTGTGTGCTGCAAGCAACATATACCGTATGTTCTATTATTTGTATGTTTTTAGGATAAAATAACGGGCATGTTTTTGCAGGTCCTGTGCGAGGGGTGCTCTTGCTCTTCTGTTCCTCCTTGGTGCCACCTGGATGTTTGGTGTTCTCCATGTTGTAAATGGCTCATTGGTGACAGCTTACCTCTTCACTATCTCCAACGCCTTCCAGGGAATGTTTATCTTCATCTTCCTTTGTGTGTTATCCAAGAAGGTGAGTAGAGAAATAACAACAATTCAATCATTAAAAAAACCCATTATAATAATAGTAACAGCCGTAACTATAATTAGAGAATCCTTCAAAATAAAATACCAATAAATGCAATACTGACAGTCAAAACATAAAAATTTAATATTTACAGTTGAATACACTTTGCTAGTCGGTAAGGTTGGGAGAAAGAACATTTTTTTTTTTATTTCAATCATTTGTAACTCTGCCATCTCTCTATATATAGAGAGAGAGGCTCTGTAGTCCATAGAAGTTAAATGGCAAGACTGCTAACACTGCATAGGAAATAAGTAGCTCACAGGATTACTGAAAGGTGCCAGCAGGTATTTATTAGATTTTTGGCAGGATCAACGGGTGTTTTTTGTACATATAGAACAGATATTACAAAAAAGACATGAAAAATTTAGAGAGTTTTTTTTACCCCATGTGTGGCGCTCGAAATAGGTGTACTAGAGGAAGACAAAATTGGAGAACGGAAGCGCCATTAGCTGGCGCAATAAATGTGGTGAGGCTTGGTGAGAGGGATAGGTGATGTACTCACCTATGGTAGGTGGATCATTCGCTTTTAGGACGGCCGTCAGATGGAATGGAGCAGTTGTGGGAGACGGACCTTCTTGGGATGGGTGGTGTAGCGGTGCGACACAAAGGAACACAGGAAGGTAAGGTGAGGAAGGTGAGCACAAAAAGGAGAGATTAAGTAACTCACCGCGAGGAAAGTGAAAGCTGGCTCTCAACGACGGATGTGGGCTCATGTGGGAAGCTGCAGGATGGTCCTCTGCTGGCGTGGTAGTCCTGCTGGACGTCCGCGGTGTCCGGCGCTGGGGAGAGACGCAGTGCTGGATGGTAGTGTGGATGCTAGTCCGGCGAGTCTGTGTCCTCAGACTGTCGGCTTCCGATGACGATGATGGAGTGTTAACAAACACTTGCTCTCGATCAACTCTGACACATCGGCTTGAAAAAGAAGGTATCGCCTTAGAAACGCGTCGCCAACACGAACCCAGGACCCGCTGAGTGTTTGTTAACACTCCATCATCGTCATCGGAAGCCGACAGTCTGAGGACACAGACTCGCCGGACTAATAGGAGGACCCAGCGTTCATCCACACCCGCCTCCACTACGGATCCTCACCCCCCTTCCAGCAGTCACTTCAGGGGGCCATCACAACACTTCAGCATCCACACTACCCTCCAGCACTGTGTCTCTCCCCAGCGCCGGACACCGCGGACGTCCAGCAGGACTACCATGCCAGCAGAGGACCATCCTGCAGCTTCCCACATGAGCCCACATCCGTCGTTGAGAGACAGCTTTCACTTTCCTCGCGGTGAGTTACTTAATCTCTCCTTTTTGTGCTCACCTTCCTCACCTTACCTTCCTGTGTTCCTTTGTGTCGCACCGCTACACCACCCATCCCAAGAAGGACCGTCTCCCACAACTGCTCCATTCCATCTGACGGCCGTCCTAAAAGCGAATGATCCACCTACCATAGGTGAGTACATCACTTATCCCTCTCACCAAGCCTCACCACATTTATTGCGCCAGGTAGTGGCGCTTCCGTTCTCCAATATTGTCTTCCTCTATTACAAAAAAGAGTAGTTCATTGTTAGGGATTTACATACACTTTAAGGATCTATTCACAGCTTTGTAAATGAATTCAAGTAAATTAATTAAAGCCGAACTCCGGAATAAATACAATGTTTGTAAAAACTTGACCCATGTGTATTATTCATGAATCTTGGTGAGTTTTGTGTATTTTTTCCAGATCTGTGCAGTAATCCAGTGTGAAACTTGGATTTTCCTGTAATAAAGATCAGTTACTGCTTCTCTCTCTCCCCTTTATGGAGACTGTCTTGTCTCCGCCCTCCTACTGTAGATCTGTAGATGTATACAGGCAGCCTGTAGTGGGTGGGGCCTGCTGACTCCCTTTACAGCTCTGCCATCTGCCCAGGCTATGTACAGCACAGTGTTGATGTAACTGCTACTGTTACAAGGAAATGCTTGAGTTTGCAAAGGCACTTGGTGCTCACAAAGGGGATTTATATACATTGTGGCTTGAGGAATATATCTTGGTTTAAGATTTTGTGTCTGGAGTTCAGCTTTAATGCATGTTTTCTTTTGCCATGTATTGTATTAATGTTATGCCCTTCTGAACCCTATTTATACCCTTATGTATTTAAAAGTGGCCCCTCCCCTACCCTCCTGGCTGTACATGGTAAAGTGACACTAAACTCCGGAGTTAAATCTTAAAAATACATTCAGCTTAACTAATAAAAAAAATTATCTTATTTGTGTATCACTCGGCTGGAGATCCTCCAATCATTTCTGGATTGGTGCTGACATTGTCCTTCCTTCTGGAGGGTGGCTACTTTTGTTCTCCTTGGTCCCTGTGTGTGTTGTAAAGTAGTCACTGCTCCACGCTCGGTCCCAGGATGGACTACAATCTCACATTTAGTTGGCTTATTTGTATTGAGATTTTAGTCTAACACAGGAGCGAGCTTGGAGCGGTGACTACTTTACCACACACTCATAAGGGTATGAATAGGGTTCAGAAGGGCAGTATTTTTAATATGATGCTAACATCAATAACAAAGAGACACAACCTCAAACTAGCAGGAGGGAAGTTAAAAACTAGCCTTAGAAACAATTGTTTTAATGTAGAGTAGTTGATGGTTAGAGCAGACTTCCAACAATGATAGTGAGTCAGCCAACAGTAAGTGAATTTAAACATGCTTGGGTCAAACATAGGTCTATGCTTAGACAAAAAGGTTAAAAAATAAAAAAAATAAAAAAGGGGGCAGACTCGGTGCAGCACTCAGTGTTTTTCTACCTTAATCTCCTATGTTTCTATGAGTTCAACCAATGTAAATGACTACAATAGCCTTTGGGCTGCTGAACCATTGTGACTATCTTTCAGTCTTTCTTATGATAATTGGAATCATGCAGCCAGTGTTATAGCGCCATGGCTATTCAGGCAAAATCATCCAGCTGTCCTCAGTTTATCGGCATGCTACAGAACTTTCCTCATCAATAGCAAAAATTATGATTTCTTAAGTCAGTTAGTAGCACCCAACAGCTATAATAGGCTTGCTGTACAGTAATTGGTGAACCATTACCTGTGATTTAAATCAATATAAGCTCTATTTACTTACATTTAGCCTTTCTTCATAATGATTAAACCCGCTGTTGTTGGCAATCCTTCTTGGTAACACGTTTTTTAAGGCCTAGGATAAAAGTGTTTGTCGAGAACTTTTAATAAATAGTAACTATGCTGTAACTTTGCTACTTATGGCAACATAAAGCCGTCTGATAGAGCAAGTCCGCGCTTGCCGTTACATCGCTTGTTTATTTGTTTGTTTGTTTTCTTGGCCTCATGTTATAGCTGCATATCAATTAACGCTCGAGAGATCATTCGTATGCAAAGCGCTTTCTGTGCTCTCTGAATATTTCCATACATTATCTCTGAAAATGACTGGGTAATTCCAAAAGGCTGGGGAGCACAGGCATGTTAAAGACTTTGGCTTTATGAAGCTCCGTAAACTCACTGGAGCCTATTTACTAAACAACAACAAAAAAGCATTCTTCTGGGGGGTAGAATAGCAAGCTTTATGATACCTCAACACAGGAAAAAAAATGAGGGTTGGTTTTCAGACGTTAACATTGCTCTTAGTCAGCCAAGTAACAGGTTCACTTTACTGTACTTATAGGAGGCGCCTACAGGGCTGTATTTACTCTTACTGCCGCCCCAAGGCCAGTTTCCTCAATGCGCCCCCTATCTCCCAAACCCCCCCCACCATAGAGAATGGCAGACCTGCAGGCTGCATACAAGTGATCTCTGCGAAACAAGAAGAAAACTACCCGCCCGGCGCCCAAAACTGCATGTCCCGGGCGTCGGGAAATAGGAATTCCACACCACTGCTGCCCCTCTACTCCCTGCTGCCCTGAGGCCGGGCCTTGGTTGGCTTTGTGGGAAATCCGGCCCTGGGTGCTTACAATGTATTGCTCCCTGCCTCATTGGTCTGCTGCACTCCCTGCCTGCCCCATATTATGCAGCGCTCATTGCCTGGACAGCCAATCGTGAGGCCTGATCACTGTCACGTGGGAGCAGGGGGAGTGTGCACACCCCCCCCTGCTGGGTAAATTCACTTTCTCTATTGATCCTGATGACCATTATCATCAAGACAGAAATTTATGAGCAATCCAAAATTTTACAATTGTTGTGGAGATTTCTGCCCCTTCCTGTTGCATCTCTAGAACAGGAAGTAAAGAAAAGTCTCCCCAATAGGAAACAAACAGGAAACTATAAATTGACAGTTTAAACCATTTCCTACTCTATCCAAAACAAACAAAAAAAGATTTGACTTTACATAAACTGAAAAATAAGCTTATGGCTGCTATTGTGCCTTTCGATTATTTTAAAGCCCTAACATAATTGGATGTGTAAACTTTTAATTTTTTAAATTAATCTTTTGGTTTTCCTCTGCTTAGCAGAAGTGATGGAGGCGTTGGGGGGGTTGCAAAGTCACCTGCTCTCTTCTACCCAGATATCAAGCAATTGAGCTGCAAGATTGAAAATGACTTGCTAAAGCATTGCAAGTCTCCAGACCAGCGAGCTTGCAGAGCTCTTGCTAAGACCTGCAGGACTCTTGCTGTAGACTTGCCAAGCAAATTTGCTACAAATTCAAAAAGTGTCAACTAGAACGTGTGCTGCAAGTGTTCTGCAAGTCTACAACTTGCCAGGAATATGTGCAGCAAGTTAACAAAATTACAATTTCACCCCGCCACAAGTTTGTAGCAAGTTATCCTTGCTATCTGGGTACATAGGAGGGAAGCAGAATCCCCTCCTGGTTCTAGTTATTGCCTGGCTCATATTTGAGCCCGGCATCTCTGAAAGCGCATTAAAGTAAAACTAAACTCAGGAGTTAAATCTTAAAAATGCATTCAAGTATCTTAACGATTAACAAAAATTTATCTTATTTGTGTATAACTCGGCTGTAGATCCTCAAATCCTCTCTGAATAGGTGCTGACACTGTCCTTCCTTCTGGAGGGGGGCTACTTTTGTTCTCCATGGTTCCTGTGTGTTTTGTAAAGTAGTCACCGCTCCAAGCTCACTCCCGTGATGGACTACAATCTCACGTTTAGTTTACTAATGTAAGGGTCGTACCCTGGGGGGGTCCGGTGCGGGCGTCCGTCGCGGTCCTGTGCAGGGACAGCGGGTTCCTCCTGCCCGGGGTCGCTCAGGGCGGGTGATGGCCTCGGGTGGCAGTGCCCGTGGTCGTACTGCGCAGGCGCGGTGTGGATTGCCGGCATCTCTCTCTCCTCCGGGATCTACGTCCTGCGCAGGCGCGCCCTGTAGCTCCGCCCCCTCTAGAGTGAGCGCTCGGCTTAAAGCCGCCGCTCGTCAGTTGATCGGCGTCTCGCTATTGATGTAGCAGGACGCTGATCAACTCAGCGCTCCCTTCGCTCCCCCGGGACCTGGACTCTCAAACCTACCCAACGGGAACGCAAGTACCCTGGGCTATACCATAGCATCAGATGCTAAGGTTTCTCTCATAGCTACTACGGTTAATACCCATAATTGCTGGTTATATCTACTGCTGTGGCTACTCTCTATTGATTACTTAAACATCCACTGCTGTGAATGCTCATACTTGCTGGTATAAATCTGCTGCTGTGAATACTCATACTTGCTGGTATATATCTACTGTTGTGAATATTGCGGGCTTAAACACATCTAATGCTGTGAAGGCTCATACCTGCTGGTTATACTCACTGGGTGCATACTCTCCACTGATTGTTGTACCTCCACTGCTGTGAGGACGCCTCACCACTGATTAACATCAAACTGCTGTGTATACTCCCCAACGCTGATCATTTGCCCCTGCTGAGGTAGATTACCAGTGCACGGACTCTCTCCTCACTCCAACTCGACCCCACACTCCGGGGTCACCAAACCCTCACCCCAGCGGGGAAATGATGTGAGGCAGCTCCCTCTCAGCCTCTCCTAAAAACGGGGCAAGTGAGGCGCAGCTGCCACTCTGATACCCGTACCCTAGAACCACAGTTGAGATCCATATAGTCTGTTAGTTCACCCGGACTGAACATTACAACTAATTTGTATTGAGTTTGTAGTCCATCACGGGAGTGAGAGATGATCTGAGGATCTACAGCCGAGTGAAACACAAATAAGATACCCTTTTTCTTAATAGTTAAGGTACACAAATGTGATATAACTCGTCACATACAGTGTACTTGGCCAGTCATATAGGCACAAAGTGACAGGACGTACACTGTACGTCTTTCGTCACGAAGGGGTTAAGATTTAACTTCTGAGTTTAGCGTAATTTTAAGTTTATGATCCATAGGAAATCAGCGAACTTTGATCTGCTGCTAAATAGCAAATGTATTATAACTTAGTGTACTTTGTATCTGATGGATTGGGTCAGACTGGAGGGTCCATAAGAACAGTCAATTAATATGAACAGATTTACTCAACCATGCATGTTCCAAAAAAAACAACAGAAAAATTAGAACAAATACTGTGACTCTACGGATCCCACTTTCCTTTACATATATACGGCCATTTATTGATCTCGGATTGTAATATGCTTTGAATTGATTTACCCTGTTCTATAAATAATTGGCTTTAGATGATTTTTCAGTAAACTGACATGTTTTTTTCATTGTCTTTACTTTTCCAGATACAGGAAGAATACTACAGACTATTCAAGAACGTGCCATGTTGTCTTGTGTGTCTGAGATAAACAGAAGGAGCAGTTATAACTCACAGCAAACATTTGCGCCAGCACAATAAAACAATCTCCCACATTGTATAGTAGAGGAACCATACAACTACCTGATGACTGTAACAGTATTTTGGATACTCAAGGTTATAGCATGCGTGTATTTGTTAAGTTCCCAAGAGCTATTTTTTTTAATTATCCTTAATTTTTCCGGCATTGCCCCAGCATCAGAAATACAGTCTATCAAAGTGTCTGAAATATGGGCATTCTGTTTTCCCCATAGCAACTAAAGATTAATCAGCTGGACCCCGTTACAGAGTGTCTGGAGAAGGATCAGAGCTCAGACCAATCAGTTTCTCTCTTCCATGTTCCAGAGCAGTATTAGAGAATGAGCAGTCTGGTTGCTTTGAACAACAAGAGTGGTCCCTCCGAAAGACATCCTTTTGCATGTGGTCTATTGGCCTTGTGTTGACACCTAGTTGGTGAAATGTGACTTGCTGCCAATGTTTTTAATTGGAAAGAGCTCATGAAGCTGACATTTTTAGTTATAAGTGGTGGAAAACCTATTTAGGACTCAGTTATTAAAGTGTGTTAAGGAGGTTCTGTTCTTGTTGATGGTGTAGCTCTCTCCCCCTAAGGAATACCCGGGTCAGCCATAGCCTGTCTAGGGGATTTTGGTAACCAGCTGCCCCACTAGTGAATAACTGCCCTCTTCTAGTGACCAACATAGTTGAGATCCAGACCAAAAGTGTCATGCTGAAGAACTTTATTAACATATTCACACTGAGACAGAGGGTTTAGGGCTTAGGACATCCATGAGAAAATAGATAGATTCCAGACTCACCGGTACACAGGTACCAGCACAGTTGAATAGGGATTGGCACAGAATCTTCAATAGTACAGACACCAGACTTACTCCTGAGGTCCACTCTATTCCAAGTACCTCCAGTAGCCTCAGTTTTCCTGGCTCTCTCCCTCCTCAGTCAATAGCCAAAGCCTCCTCTAGGCTTGAGGGCCAGTGAAAAATTCCCCACACATTAAAGTATTCCTACCCACAGGCCTAGGCCTGAGTGCAGGCTGAATAGCACCCAGCCCTTACTGGACTCAGAGCTATCCCAGGATAGATTGAGCACATGGCAATTCCTCTGAGCATATATGCCCTATTCCAGCATGCACCACTGTGAGAGCCCTAGTGATTGGCTGATGGACTGCACACACACTCACAGTGTCCCCCATTGGTTGTCCCACACTGCAGCAAAGTCACACTCCACTCAAGACAGTACAGTCAATGCCAGAACACCTGGAAATAACCAGATAAATGCCAACAATAATTCAACTAGACTGACTACAGCTCTGGCAATTGCTACATTTCTAATAGCCCCTCACAAAAGGTAATGGGGGCTACACTGTTAACCAAACAGAGCCTCAAATGTTCATCTTCTAGGGCAGTATGGTTAAAGGAACTTAACTAGTACCAGGAACAAAGGTTGCACATGAGAAATTAAAACTGGCCCTGTAACAGTTGAATTGTCCTAAGATTTAATTGCTAAAGTATATCTCCAGCCAATTTTCGTAGATTTGGATAGAGTGGAGAAGAGTTTTTACTAGTTCCTGTGGCCATGTTGAGGAGACATCCCATTGCTTGCTGTACCATTGAGAATGTTGTCACCAGGAAAGGACATCTCCAATAAAGACACAGTCCACACACAAAGTCCTTTTATGTATTACAGTGGGGTAAGGCTTATAACTGTTGTGTTCTACCCTGGAGATTCTCCCTCACTTCCTGTTCTGGTGACAATGTTGTCTCCAGGGAAGAAAGTGGCTGAAAACCCCCTCAAAAAGATTTCATATAACAATAAAATCTCTAACCACTCCGTCTATAATAACAAAAAAGTTTTTGCTGGAGGTACACTTTATATCAGATACCTTCATCAACAGCTATTTATCACAAGGGCCTACTGAAACATTCCATTCAATTTCTATCCAGTCAGTTGGGCCCTCATACTGTTGAGAAACTTTGCTGAGCTACTAGATCAAGTCTAATGCTGCCCATACTTAAAGTGAGCACCTGCAGGAATTGTCACCTTTATATATTCAGAATAAGTAGGTGATAGATCTATAGATAAAGCAAAGAAGCCATTAATACCTGCATAATATATA